TTGTTTTAAGTCTGGAATTGACAATTGAGTGGGTGTTGGAATTTTTCTGCTCTTCTGGCAGCTTATCTTAACTAGAATCAATCAAATCCCATTTTAATGACTGAAACATTTCATTTAGATGTGACAGTGAAGATTATACAATCTCTTTCTCAAGCTCTCCCTGGATAATCTTTGCCTTCACTACTAATCTAGTGTTGTTCTTGGGCATGGGGGAATTAAAAACCTCTTCATGGATTACACAATACAGCAAAGGATAGTATTCTCTTTGCTGAGAACTCTTGAGGAGTTCTTGAAGTTTATGTCAGAGCCTGTGGGAAAGTTTGTGTAGTAATAAAACAAGAGTTGTACTGCAAAATGTATCATCTTAATAGATGCCCTGAAGGTTGCCTGAAAGTTCTCTCCTGGGAACTCTTTATGTCTCGTGACTTGGTGCCACATGATGGGTGTCAAACACTGACCACTTTTCAACTAATCTTTTCTGTTAGTTTCTTGTTGTTTTTTTTTCATTTTTCCTCTTTATAATCAAGCCTTCATTTTTTCATTATTTACCATGAAGCAAGAATTGCTAGACAAACCAGGAAAGCTTTTTCCTTTAAAGCCCTTTCAAATCCCCACAGCTTTAATATCCAGTTGTTAGAGCATTATTGTTAGATTTAAATTTATTGGAAAATGGGCTTCTTATTAGTTCTTTAGTTTTTAAACTCATAAATCCCTTTCATTAAATGTATTTTAGTAAGATTTTGCAATCTCCCACAATCATTTGATAATATTACCATGAAATATTTGAGCTCACTAAAACCTACTTTGGTGATTTTTTAAAGACTGAATGTAGTTAGAAATAATTCTCTGTTTGCAGGACAACAAAAAAATCTTGGATAATACTTATATTCTAATACTTATACCACATGCAGTAATCATAGCAAGTTCAGGTTCCTTGGAAACTTCTGCCACAGTCCTAGTCCTAGTCAAAACACTTAAGAATGCACAATGTGAATTGATGGGAAATTGTCCAACTGAGAGGGAAGGAAAAACTGCAAAAAATATAGAAATCATTCCATGCCTGTCTCCAAATCAATTAGATACTAAAATTAACTAAAAAGAAGTGTTTTCTTCCTGTCCATATTGGTAATATTTACAGCAGAAAGGGACTCAGGGCAGTGAGGCAGACAGAGCAGTTGGCCTTTCCATACCTTAGTCACACCACTCCTTTACACTGATTCCTGTGACTTTTAGGTTTTTCAGGACAGGCAGATGGTTAGAGATAACAAGATAGAGGAAAAACTATAATCACATGCGGACTAAGGGGGTTTGTACTGAGGTGTTTCTAGGATAGTAGAGGGCTTTGAGAAGGGACAAAGAAGGAGGATCTCAAAGGGTGGTCTTTGAGCCAAGATGATAAAAGACTAGAGCAGTAGAAAGGGTGATTAGTGAAGCTGGGGAAAAGGAAACAAAAGAAAAGGAAAGGAAAGGAAGGGAAGAAAAAGGAAGAGAAGGGAAGGGAAAGGAAGGGACTTAAAAGGATGTCTAATGGAAAAGGGGATCAGCAGATTGTATATGATGTTATTACTAGTCTTTCAGAATTGATCTATATGGCACAGTGTCATCAGGGGAAGGCTGATTCTCCAACTCATTCTAAAGGACTGGTGTGTAGAACTAGGTCAGAAATATGAGTCTATTAAGAGAGTCCCTGAGGACTTGCATACACATAGAGACATACACATAAAATCTCTCTCTCTCTCTCTCTCTCTCTCTCTCTCTCTCTCTCTCTCTCTCTCCATAGAGGCAAAAGGGAACTAGTCCCAGTCCCTTAGCCTGTATTCTGCTCTTCTCTGCAGAAGTTAGGTCTCCTTCATCCTCCCATCCCCATGTTCCCCAACATAAGACTCAGACTCAAAATATACTTAAAATATCTTCGCTATATACCTTCATTCTTCATTGAATAGGTCATAACTTAAAATAGCCCAATATTATTTTAATCTCGATTGACATGTGTCATGTTACCTGTGTTCAGGTATCATGTGTCACTCATATCACATGTTCCTGGAAAATCATTCTTGCATGGTACTATCACAAAATTGTTTCTGCTGTCTAGATATCCCACCTTCTATTCTATTCTACCCTTTCCTATATGTCATAGCTTTTTTAAAGATGCATATATATATATATATATATATATATATATATATATATATACACACACACACACATAGGACATAAGATACTTTCTCTGCATTTCTCTTTTCTTTCAAATATAAACTAAATACAGTAATAATGATAATGAAGGTTATCAGATATGGCTTACATTATAATGTATAGTCAAAAAGTATTTAGCGATTTAGAGGAAGTATTCTATTTTCTGTTCTATCTTTGTGAATTAGAGATTTGTAGCTAAGTCATTTTGTATCACAACTTGTATTGCCATCCTAAAATCATCCTCTTGGTCCTGAAAAATATTTTCTTAAATTCTAAACAATTTAAGCTTAATTTTGAGACTAGAACTATCTAGTGTTCAACCACATCAGAGACTTGAGAAGGAATAATTATTACCTAAGTAAGTAGGAAGTACAGACAAATAGCTTCCAAGATTATATAAAAGAGAGACATATTGGGCTATCTGAACACTTTCCCAGAATTGTCTTTATAACATTGGAGCATCCATCTTCAGCCTTTCTGGCCCAGTATATATATATATATACTGTATATACTTTTATAAAGTAGGAATAATGAAGAGCTTGCTTACCTTGGTGGTGTTTGATAATCTATTCCACTCCCCCATTCCCTCCGCTTCCATTTGTCACTTCTGGATATCATCATTTTGTCTGTAGTTGAAGCATGTGTATTTTCTTTTCCGAGTGGCTAGCTTGCCATTTATGAAGAAACTCCATATGGAGGATTTTGATGCCCATCATCTTCTTTGAAGTGGGAAGGAGGTACTAACAGAAACAGGCCTGTCTCACAGACAAAAAATCTTTTAATAATGACACATCTTTAAATACCATATTCTGTGGATCTCTGAGGTTTTTGAAGACGAAGCATCTATTTATAGTATATCTGAATTGTAAAATGTTGTTAATTCTTAGTTATTGAGTATTTGAATAACCTTTAAAACATCTTATTGTAATGAACTAAACTAGTATTTAATATGATTCTGAATTTAATTGCCTGACTATTAGCTTGCATTTTTTAACCATTTCTAATAGTCCATACCTTGCATTTCTACCATTTCTGTTTGTAATAGCAGCTTTCAAAAGGACTAGAATTTTATATTGCAATTTTAGGAATTATATAATTGCAATACCTAAAATAAATTTTGAAAACATAATATATTATGTGTATCAAAATAACCTTAAATTTTTATCACTGTATAATAATTCACATCAACATAAACAAAAAAACTTATTTGAGACTAGCAATAGATCTATGTTGAAGAGTAGTTTCAGTAATGTATCCCTTTATTTCCCCTTTCTTCTTGACACCCTTCTCCTTACCAAATAACAAAAGAAGGATAGAGAAAAATAATGGAAAGAGAAAAGGAAATCCCTGAATCTAATCTCTCTACTCTTCTCCCTGATCAACTCCATAACTATTTGGAACCATCCCCTTTTAAAATATGACAAACATATGATATCTATTTAATTCCCTCTTGAGAATGAGGTAGAGTTCTCTTATAATTGCTTCCTACTGATTTTGGGCACAGTCTTCCTTTTGGTAGACCCAATAAAATTAGGAAAATGTTTGGTCTTATGAAAGGTAGTTATAAGATTTGTTGTCCAGTTTCTGTATGCTGACGAAGTTCAGAGTTTAACTGAAGTTCTGATTGGAACAGTCTGTAAAGCTAGACCAAATGAGCTATTTTGACACTGTCTTAGAAGCAAGTCATATAGGAAACAGCATTGATGTTCTAAGGTAGGATTATACAGGAAGCTGGAACTGTTATTTTCAGCATTTCAGCATCTTTGAGGGTGCATCTTATCAGGGCTGCATTCCTGGTTATATTGTCTGTGAACATAAAGCATTTAGATGTAATACATATTTCTGTATCAACATAATGTATGGAGTAGACACATACCAGTTAAAGAAGAATTTCTTCTCTTTTTTTGAACAGATGAGAGATAACTGTCTTCTTTTGAAGTTATTTTGGTCATATAGCCAAAATCTATTCATTCCATATCAAAGGACAGCATACAATTATAAGTTATGAGAATTCTCTAGTCACCAAGTTTATTTGTCATGCATAGATGAAGTTTTGGCTGGAAAAATTTTAATGTTTCTGTCTACAACTGTGTTTTCTGCACAGCTACAATCCCAAGGATTTTCTTTAGTTATTCTACCACTCTGATGCAGTATTTTCTTTCCTCCATACAGGGTATCCTACCTGTGAAAGGGGGACACTGTTGGTGAAGATATGCTTGTGTTCTACCCTGTGCTATGTTACTATTTTTTTCAAGTGTCACTTAAACTATATTTTTTAATAACTTCTACTTTCAGCAGCAAAACTCTATGATCTTATATCCTTCCGTATCACAGCACTCCCATGAACACAGAACAGGCTCAAATCTATTCTTGGAAGGCTGACCATGATACTTCCTATCAGTCTTACCATATGTTGAAATAATTTAGTTGTATTAAACCTGTGTTCATTACAATTATATTAATAATATTGATTTTGTCTGCAACTCCAAGTCTCTAACAAAGAACTGATGGACAGAGGGGTTTCAGTATTTTGTGCAGATCATTCATGGAGAATCTTTTCCCGTTGTAGAAAATTGAAGCTGAACTTTTTGTGTGAGTTTACAAATATGGCTCTATGATTCTCTTCAATTCCATCTTCTGTTATTCTCCTGATATCCTGAACACTGATGAAAATTTCTGTTTAATATTCATGCACAAGACCCCTATAATATATCATTAAAGATTTTGATCAAAATGTCAGGGGCATTCTTAAAATTGTAGCTTGATGATGACTAAGATAACATGTTATTTTCTGTTTTTCTACCTAGGTCAGAATTGTGGTGGCCTGGTACAGGGACCCAATGGCACCATCGAAAGTCCTGGCTTTCCTCATGGGTACCCCAACTATGCCAATTGCACCTGGATAATTATCACTGGAGAACGCAACCGGATCCAGCTATCCTTCCACACCTTTGCCCTAGAAGAGGATTTTGACATCTTATCTGTCTATGATGGACAGCCCCAGCAAGGGAACTTGAAAGTGAGGTAAAGTACCAAGTTTTCTTGTCATAGAGTAGTGGCATGTTTGGTTTTCTCTATTCTGAAATATTACTGTAATTGACATTCATACTTATTTAACAGAAAAAAATTTAATATAAAGAAACACAAGGGGCAATGCCATATGGTGAATATTTATTTCTAACTTGCAATCCTGTTAGTGAACGAAGTTTTAAAGTGCTTAAGATCTGCTCAGAGATATTGTCAAGGTAATTAAAGTAAAGTTACAGTGGACTTCAGTTTTAAACAATTGTGTTTTTCTAAGAAAAACAAAATAGAAATTAAGTGCAAGGTTCAACTGAGAGAGTAGTAGAGCAACTGCCTCACCCTGAGAGGGCAAGGTCAAGGCAGACTCTCAGCAACAGTGAATTCTGGAAAACCTTAGTTGTCATTTCTCCTTATTATGATTATGGCCTTTTCATCTGTGATTTCTACTACAAGGAAAAATAAATTTACTGGCAGAATTTTCATATAATATTTTTCCATTAGTCAAACTAGATACCACACAATTAATTTTTAATTCATAAAGGAAAGATGATATTCCTTTGGAAGAATCAGATTTTCTCATCTAAATTTAGAAAATGTGCGTTGCATGATTTTTTATTGCTGTGCTGTGTTCAATCGTAGGCCCTCTTAAATGCTAGGTAAGGACTCTATCTCCCAGATGTGCTTGCAACCCTACTCAACAGAGTAAGATACACATGTAAGACTAACAGAATCTTTATACTCTTGGTTTCTGATTCTCCAGTAATTAGATTGTGCTTAGTAACTGGGTTTTTATAACATGATTGACAGTAAGCAGAAGGAAAAAGGATGCTGAAGTCAAGAAAATGGTATTAGTATTATGGACAGCAGAAATAAACATCTACCTTAGACAACTTACCCATGTCTTTGTGGAAGATGAGCAACTCCACTGGAAATTATCTGTGTATATAGTTGAGAGATTTACATCACTACAAAATACACCATTAATGTGTTCTAAAGAATTATTTTCAAATATGTTTTATTTGTATGCTGATTCAGATATAATATCAGCAGTTGGGAGGTCAATTGTCTGTCTTTAGAAAACAGTTTTTGAATGCTGTCATGAATCATGCCGTGACTATCCCCATTTCTTTATGAGTTAGGTCAATTTTCTTTCTCTTGCTTAGAATGGATGGTCTGTTCTGTCATTGGGTGTCTGGGCACTGTATCTACTTAAATGACCCTGATTCATTGGCTATGAATTCTTCTCCTGAATATTAGCTATTCATTTGTCTTGAACATGCAAGAGTTAAGCCTGTTAGTTGGAAAACAGGGTTAGAGAAATAATGACAGAGCAAAGGAGAGGTATTGTGGGATGTCGATCATTCCAATATCAACACACATAACTGTGGGAAAATTAATTCTTTCTACCTCTATAAAAATGCCTACTAAGTACGTGTTCAGAAATAGTTCTTTTTTCTATTAACGTTTTTCTATATTTCTTTCACATATAGAAATCTGTCTCACATATAGGAACTCTGTTTCACATGTTAATTTGATTGATACCTGTCTCATGACTTTCAACATTTTGTTACCCTCTTGGGTTCTTGTGGTGCTACTGATATCATTTTATGTTAATAAATTCAAGAATAATTTTCTTCCTCTTCTTACTGTTGTAATAGGAGTGGTGATGAAATACTGCTATTAAATCCATTAGATTTCTTGTATTTTGCAATGTGGCTCCATTGAGTGGTACACAGATAGATGTGTTTAGTTCAGGGAGCTGCATAATTATTCATGAGGTGATATGCAATGTTACCATACTGCTTCTGCTCAGCAGTATTTATAGTGGGGAATCAGAGAGTGGTAAAGAAGGAGGAGGAGGAAAAGGAGGAGGAGGAGGAGGAGGAGAAAGAAGAGGAAGAGGAGAAGGAGGAGGAGGAGAAAGAGGAGGAGGAGAAGGAGGAGGAGGAGGAGGAGGAGGAGGAGGAGGAGGAGGAGGAGGAGGAGGAGGAGGATATATATTGGGCCCTCCAGTTATAGGGCCCCTTTATGCTTTGCTGGAGCTGAAGCTACTCGGTAGTCCCATTTCCACCTGACTGTATTCTGAAGGCTGGGTACTGCTTCTACCTCTACACTATGTATCTGAATCCTTCCTTCTGCTCTACATCTAGAGGCCTCTGTGCAGCCCAAAGTTAGGTTTGTAGGAATACATTTGGCGTCTCTTCTAACACAAGCTAGATAAACATTTCAAAAGTTATCCTACCCTGGCACTACTCATTGCTACCCACATGCCTCATGGTGTGCAGGAAATAGGACTGTGAGTGTTGTCAGAGAAATCAAAGGTAAGAGGAATACTCTCTCACTATTCAGACATGGTTGATGATTGAGATAACCATTGTAATTAGTACCAAACTCTAGCTGGGGAGGGCAGTACTGAAATCTGTTATTCGTTATCCTTTACATCACAGGTTTTTCTCTTAAAGACAATTTGCCAATAGCAATTAAAGCAGATGAATACTCAGGAAGGACTCCTGAGGACAGGATTGGTGTGGTATTTCTGACTCACACAACTATGAGGAGAGTAGCTTCTGAGAGCTGCCCAGTACTGCTTGCAGCACAAAGGCTGTTTGTCATCACTCCAAATATGCACTGACTAAAACTTAAGAGGTGTTTTGTCAAGCAGTTTGAGTACCAAGTTTTAAAGAAAAAAAGAAACTTCTTTTCATTCTCATAAAAAGGGATCTTTTTTTTTTTCAGGATAATTTTAAGTTCATACCTATTTTCCAATTAAGAAAACATAGGGTATTCAGCTTAGAGTTATTGGTTGCTCTTTAATTTGATGACAACTCAGGAATACATATTTTACTGCATTTAAAATGTATCTTAAAACATCACTAAAAATTTGAGCTACCAAGATGGAGTGGTTCCTACAGCTGTCCTCTGACATCTGACCCACAAGCACACTTCTTAGAGGTGTGCCTGCTTATTGTTATTATTGTTATTATTATTATTATTTCACTTCCGCAATGCAACATATATCCTTGAATCCCAGCCAGGTGATGTCGGTAGTCCTGCTCCTGTGTTGAGTAGTGTCAGCCTGTAAATATTCCTTGAATCCCTGTTGAGTGAGTCTGCCCCACAATGAAGATGATTAGGGCTATTGACTTCGGTTTATGTTCACGTAACACAAAGATAAGTGGATAACATTTCTTTATGTATCCGGGGGCAATGTCCCCCATGGTGACTAGCACGTAAAATGTGCTCTCTGACTTTGAAGGAGTATTTGTTTGTCCCAAATCTGAAAACAACTGAAGGTCGCATAAATTTCCGCAAATAATTCCATAGTTATATCAGAGGTTGGACAGAAATAAATCCATCCAAATCTCAAAAGTAAAACAAAAGGAAAACTGAAGCCCAAAGTAGGAGAATGGACACATTGTTTTCTGCTGATCATGGGCTGGGAGACCAAGGGAAGCAGCCCCAGCATTTATACTCCTTTGCCCTCCTGGGCTCATAGATTACCCCTGATTTTCTGCAATGATCATAATAATGGAAAAGGAATGTGAATGTTGGAGCACTGGGGACAGGAAATCTTGCATTTGCATTGTTAAAATATCACAGGTTTTCTTATTATTCAAACCTGGGGTGGCATCTTTGATTAGGTTAATCACTGAGAACTCTGCTAGTGCTAACTCTGCAGATGGTAGTGTGACAGCATGACAGTTCAGAGGCCTGGGAAGGGTTCAGCCACACAATAAGGACATTAGATTAGAAATACATCTTGGCTGAAATTCTGTATTTCCTGCTCCCACTGTCACAATGAGGTCTCAAGGGGACAATTTGTGGATCAATGGCCAGATAAAAATCAAAGGATCATGCTATTTTTAGCTGGAGTGGTGACACATACCTTGATTAAGGCTTGGGTAGCCATGGGTTGAGCTCTTATGGATGCTGCTCAGAGATGCTGTCCTCATGCTAACCCTACATGCATAACCTGCCTGACACCTGTCAGTCTTGGCCAGTCACAATGTCAGGAAATGAAGAGGATGATCTGAATATCATGAGATTGCAAGGTGAAGGAGCCCAGAGTGGGAGGCCTGTTGTCTTTCAGCTCCAAGTTCATTATCCTTCAGCACATGGTCACCTAATTATTGCTCAGGATGAAACTCAGTTGGCAAAGAATTCTTATATATATATGAATTCATATATATATGAATTGTATGAGGCCTTGAGTTCAGTCCCAAGCATCACGTCAAACTGGGAAACAATGGCCATATCTGGTTGTATGGGGTAGAGCAAAGCCAACTATTAGATATCTAAGTATGGAATTTGGACGTAGACATAAATGTCTATAATATTCTTATCCTCTCTTTCACTCAGTAATTTTGGTATGGAGCCAAGCTGAATGTGCATATATTTATGTATTCAATTTTTTTTTGATGCAGTATGTCATTATGTAGCATAAGATCGTCTTGGAGTTACAGAAACCCCCTTGCATCTGCCCTTCCCCCCACTCCTTTCCTCCTTGCTTTCTTCTTCCCTCCCTCTTGCTTTTCTTCTCTACATATGCCCCCAAGAGAGGTGCAGTAAAGTCCAAGACATTTCTGGCTGTTGTAGTTTGGTGGAAGAGTTTCCTGGCATCATTTAGTTACAAATCAACAGTGCTGATAAATTACCTACAGGATGTAGGACAGCTATGAAATGTCAAAAAATATTGAGTACAAGCTGTGAATGACAGTACTGTCTGTGACTGTACGAATGACCATCTACCTAAATGTAGTTACAGTATTTTCTCATTCAGAAACCAGGGCTGAAGGAGGTTAGCTAGAACCAGCTAAGGTCAGATTCTGGCAGTACTGGAAAAGGATACCAGTGAGCTGAGCTAGTCCAAGGGAGAACTGAATGGAGGTGGGAATCTGGGCTCTCATGTACAAGGAAGTGGGCTGTCCTCAGCTTTAGGCATAATGAAAGTTCTTCACGAATCATTTTTACGTTCTCTTTCAAAAGGCAATAAAATTATC